CGGCCGGCTGAGGCCCAGCAGGTGCACGGCCAGGGCGAGCCGCCCAGCAGTTCCCCGACGGGATGGTCTGCGCCATCCTCCTGGGATGGCACCGGTCGCTGCAGACCATGGCCGAGATGCAGATACCCCGCTGGCGGCGCAGCAGCACCCAGCCATCGAGCCCGGGCGCCTGCGGCAGCACCAGGCCGGGGAAGGCCATGCTGGTGGTGTGCCATGCCAGCCCCAGGTGCTTCCATGCCAGCCCCAGGTGCTTCCCAGCACGAAGGTACGCCAGTATGAAGCGTACAAACAGTGAACAACAGCACGTCTCCTGGAGGTTGCTCCTAAGGAGCAGCTTCATTGAAAGCCCCAGCAAGCAATTCGTATTGCTGCTTAGGATTCCTTCCTTAAACGTCTACAACTCCTTGCATTTTAGTTCTTGAGCTTCCCTCCTAAAAATAGTTACCTCCCTCTCCTTGGGAAAGAAAATGAAAGAAAATGTTTCTGAGTTTCTGAAACGAAGTCTGATCAAAGTGCCTGTGCAGGTAGATGCCTGTGCATAACTGTTGAGGTGGGACAGGCCACAGTCAAGGTCACTCAGCACTGTCCATTACAACATCCTTCTTTCAGGAATTTGAAAGTTGTCAGATTAACTGCCCAGGCTGAAAGTTTCCATAATGGATGCCTATCTCAGGGTAATTTACAATTATGAAGGCAAAACCTGGGCAAAGGAAGAACTTACCATCCTCTTGAGGCAAGGAAAATAATAGATCATACCTTGTTTTGCCCATCTTCTGAAATTCTTACACAGCTTCAGCATCTCACACACTGCAGAGTGCAGAGATTATACATTTGGAGAGCTAGAAGAAGGATTGCTCAATGGCAGGGATGCCTCTCTCTTCCAGTTCCTGTGTAAACCTACAAACATTTGGCCAAGCTATGTACCCTTAAAAAAGCCTGTACATTTTCAGCAGCAGAGACTTACACCCAAACTTCCGAGGGTTGCATCAGGAACAGACAGGCTTTTCTGCTCTTTGCTTTTGGCAAGACAAGAATTTCTCCAACAAGGAAGCAAACATACTCCAGTTGTGGTAGGTGAGGCCGAGCAGGAATTGTTCCCATTACCCAAACTAAGAGTGAATTTGTTTGTCCAGTGCTCCAAAAATTCTGCTGTTTGTGCCCAGACATGAAAGCAAGAATCAGATCCAAACAATGAGGGCTGAAGGCCAGCTGGGTAGATCAGTGAAAGACAACGGCAGATGAGGATAGGTTTGTGAAACTATACAAATAAACAGCAACAATGAAAAAATAGCCTGTGCCAAGGAGCCAGAGACTCAGTATTCGTGACTAATTGGGTGTTTGTTCAGCTATGGAACACCAATCTAACACCACATCCCACAATCCTGTAGCAAAGCCAGGAAATTGCAAATCTTGTCTCATTTGCACATACTCCAAAGCTAGCAAATAATAACAGGAAGCATATTCTTCAAGGAGAAAAACAGAAATGTTTTCCTTTTTTCCTTTTCCCTTTCCCTTTGACAAATCTGAAAGCATAGTTACTGAAACGACATTCACTGCAGCGCACTTACTGTTTGGGTTTGGAACGCCAGAAACAATGTCCTTGCTGTCGGGAGTAAGCGCGCCGTAATTTGTGTGGTGGTGGTGATGGCGGTGGTGGTGGTGGTGCCTTGCAGGCATTTTTGTGGTATATGGTGCTCCACCATTCTCCTCGATGTTGAACTGATGTAGATCACTGTTGTTCAAGGGATAGCTACAAAATAAATTCAGTTCAAATTAGAGTGGTAAACGATAGGACAAATTGTGCTTTCGGAGGGCGCAAACTTTCCTGTGAAAAAAATGCATAGCTTTTTTGTAAATAGATTTTTTAACAAGGAATATCCCAAATCTTCACAGTTTTCTGTTAGCAGGAGACTCATAAGGTGAGGAAAAAGGATGCCTCTGCTTGTTTGGCATGACTTTAATATCAGAATTATTTTCTGTTTTACACACTACATAATCTTTGCTAGACTCTTATGCCAAGTAAAATTCTGACTGACTTATAGAACAGGATTCTCAAAAACACCAAAATTTGTCCTGCAGGAATTTGCAACTTCACCTGGGATAGGAAAGTGGTCAGGCAGCAAACAGTAACTCCTCTGAAGTGTCAGAAGAACAGACCAAGGAGCAGTCCTGAGAAACTTTGGACCTCCAAATTTATGGTGCAAAATAGCTGTACGAAAAATATGTGACTTGGAGAGAAAAAAAGGAGAAAGATTCCATTGGAAATAAAAGGGTTTAGAGGTTATAAAATACAAAATAACACTTGGTCAAAAAGGAATTATACCTGTGCTGGTGAACTAACTGGGTTTTTTTTTTTGCATATGTTTAGTTAGGAGATTAACTGGTGTCAGTCTACAATATATGCAGAAATGGAGACACACCGAACTTCTAATTAATCATCTCACACTCAGAGATGTCAAATGACACTGTCGATTTTCTTCTTCTCCTAAGCAACAGGTTTAACTGATGCTGTTTCAGTTTATTGTTTGAAATGATGATGAATTTATAGAAATGATATTTTCTCTCCATGCTAGCAACCAGAAAAGACTGAGATAACTCTACATAGATACTGCAAATGACTTGAACGTGCTTTCCTCAGGGGAGTGCTTAAAATTTTTATAAGGTTTTAACTTATTCTATAGTATTGCATTAGACAGTAGTTGCAGTAAATCAATTCATTCCAAGAAAAGATGAATCCCCTGCCTATTTGAAAAATGCTAAAGAAATTGTATCTTCAGCTGCACGGGTTTTCAGTTTGCTTTTATTACTAACAGAAGCTGAAAACCTGACAATACGGAATAAAGTCAAACAGAATAATTAAAGGAATAATGAATAAATTATACCCAGCTACTTGCTACTTATGTTCTCTGCAGATTACTTACTGATTCAAAGCAAAATTAACCCGTTAGCTGCAAATAAACACAACCATATGATTTCCAAAGATATGCTGAAGCACGCAACTTGGTACATCATTAATAACCTCCGTGTTCTTAGTAACAACTTCTGACAACAGGAGGTTTCCGACGGGGTAGTAACCGAATAACACTTGTGTGCTGGTTACTTTTTGAAAGCAGGAGGCGGGGAGGGGAATGTTGCATATATTAATCCTGGCAGGTTCCTGGCACGTAGCTGCCAATAAAGGCGCTTCTGATGCCTTATTTGCCTTAAGGAAACAACACAAACAGGCGTCTGATCCACAGGGGACAGCTTTGGTCAGCTCAGACAATCCAGGGCTGGTCTGTCTTTTGAAACTGCGCTCTATCTTCACTGTCGTAATCAAATCAAGCATGTGCCTACTGGGGGGAAATGGTACAGGCTAATGGGATTGCTCGCTAATTGTAACAGCTCTCCTGCACTCTCCCTTCAAGCGCCTGGGATTGAAGGGACGTTTTTTGACTGAGAGGATAGTTGGTTTTGTTCACACAGTTAACACCCTTATCGGAAATAAGATCAGTTTGGGCTGGAGCCTCGACACATCCTTTTGTTTTCAGTCTATGATTCCATTTTTTTTTCAAGACGCAGAACCCCAAGTGCTTTCATTTCACCTGCCAGCAGGCTGGTTTAGCAGATTTTCAACTGGTCTTTTCAAAATGAATGAGATCACACCAAATGCCCACACTGACTCCTCACATTGCTATGGGCGTGAGGTAGCTTCCATGCTAAAACGGGAATGAGCTGAGCAACTGAATGAGCCAAAACCCCTCTGGCATGAGGTTAAAGATGCACTGAATTCTCTAGACGTATTTCTTGACTGTCCACAGTGCTCATGCCACGTAAAATGCAAGGAGACCATTACTTCAAAGAAGTAAAGAGCTAGCCCAGCCAAGCTGATGTTCAGGTATGCACTGATATTCTGGAGCACAGCAAGTCAGGGTGTCGATACTCAGGCAGCGCACGCTGGTGTGAAATCCCACGTTGAAACTGCTGGCCCATTTAAAAGGATGCAGTCACCTGCACTCTTCCAGGACTGACAGCGACTGACAGATACTGAGGCAAACTCATCTCGGCGGTCAGTCAGCTCTTGCACTTCTCGTGCGTGTGGAGCTGGGCTGAGGAAGACTTTCGCAGCCACACCCTCACTACTAGACTGGTGAGTTACTGAACAATCACGAACAACAGGGCTTGCAGCAGAGCCAGTCTACTAGAAGAGTTTACAGGACCCAAACAAAAGTATCATGAGTACTCCGCATCCCTTTTCTCTGTACTCTCTACTATATAATTTAGGGGCACATTGGACATCTTAGTGCAGTTTCTACAAGGTGGCCTCACTATTGTCATATATCACATGTTTTTCACTTATTTTTCTGTTCTTCCACTGTCTTAACTTTAGAGACTTGAGACTTCTCCCCTTAACGCATTAACTTTTCTTCCTACTGTTTGCTTCTATCTGCCTTACTTGAACAGATAATGTGTTCATGCATGCTTCCCAACCCACTGATGCAAATAAATCACTACTTGCAGTGAATCAACTTTCTGACCATATCCTAAGCCCTCCAGGTTTTCATACTTGTTCCCCAGACACCAGGTAATGCTCTCAGACTACGTGCATACATGAACGCTTATCAGTTTTCATCCTTTCTGCTGTATTTATTTTTTGGCCCTCCTAGTACGCCAACATTACACCTTTGTTTTACCTTTCAATAATCAATTGGCTGTCCTGCAGCTTTCCTCTCCTTTTTCTATTTACCTGTGTAGTTTTCTGAACAAACTCCAGTTGCTTCCTACATAACCAACTCCTGTCCTTCAAGGAAAATCAGGCAGGGCCCTACAGGCTATTATGTAAAGGAAGAAGAAAACATTTCTTCCTTTTCTGTCCCTCCCTCAGGCAAAGCACTCCTGAGGATTCAGTTGCCAGAGGCTGAACCTTCAAAAAAGCCACTCAAAGTTCACAAGACACTTGGTATTACCTTTAGCCTCAAACTCACATAACTATTTTCTTCTAACCAAAAAGGCAGCATACTGAGGAACAGGGCAAATAACTGGTATCTTCTGATTACTTTCTCCGCTTTTTAAATTTTATTTACATTACTAGTCCTCTATCTCTATTTTATACACCTCATCCTTTTCTTTAAAAGCTATTGTCAGTTGACATTCTTACATTTCATGTGGCCCAGCCATCTACTGCCTTACCAAAGCATGCCTCTAGCGTACACCTCACACATACAACAGTGTTGAGATCATAGAAAAATGGGGAACAGAGAGATATTTGAAAGACTGAATTATCCCCTGAAATCCAAGCAGGCCCATGTTACCCCAACTGATTGGCTGAACTGAATCTTCAACACCTTCACTAGCAGAGACTCCATGACCTCCCAGTACAATCAACTCCTGTGTCTCACCATGCCTACATTTAATTTCCTTGTTTATCCTGTCTCCTTTACTGCAATTAAGGCTGCTATTTCCTCTCCCAGCCGTCACAGACACAGTGAACAAGTTATTTCTTGCTACAGAAACCCATGTTTTTGAAAATGGCTCTTCACATCTCCCTTCAGAGTCTGAAGAGCTCTGAATTCTTCAGTTGCCCCTCACAAGTCACACGTTTCCTGCAGCTTTCGTACGTCTTGCCATCCCCGCCCGCCCAGCTGTCCCCTGCTCTGCCTCCAACATGTGGTGTGCGCAACAGGGCACCCCATTCCAGCTGCTGCCTTGCAAATGCTTGCAAAGAGGAAGGGGTTGCTTCCCATGTCCTGTGGGACCTACTCCTGTTTATACGCTGGAACATGACATTTGCTTTTTCCTAAATAGCCTGGGGTTGTTGACTCACATTCAACTTGATCCTCAAGAACACCAGAGCCTTTCCTAAACTGGCCAGGTTTCCACCCCCCACCTCAGCTGCAAAGAAGGTTACTGCTACCTAACAGCACAAACATACTATCATTCCTCCTGAACCGCATCCTAAATTTTCTCATGGGCTAAGATCACAACCCATTTGGGACTTTTCTCTCACCCGTGACGGGCCTCGTGTGAGAGGACCTCCCATTTTGGTGTAACTTGTGAGTGACAAGCGATTTTTTAAAAAAAAGTAATCACCTTTCTGTGCCAGCCTCCCAGCTGCCATCCTTGTTCTCCTGTAGAACAGAACCATGTAGCTCTGAGAACATCTTTCACCTGTGTCCCAGAGCAGGCTTACTCCTGCGCCCTGTCCGTGTCCCCTTCTTCCACACGCTTCTTGTAGGCATCTCCCACCTGCCTGAAGTTACACTTGGGGAACAAACGGTGGGGCCCTCTTCTCTCCCCTCCTTGGGGAGGCTGCCAGGGCAATAGCAGAAATCAAGTTCAAACTATTGTGCCTCTTGGATGACTCTGCACTGAGTCATTTTGCCTCCTCCCTGCTGTAGCTGAATAGTGGTTTCAAAAAATCCCAGGCTTCTAGGTCTGGTTGCGATAAATGACCTTCAACAATTACCACACCCACTTCTATTCTTTGCTTTGAACGCTGCTTCTGCCCCAAACCACTGCAATTTCTAATACCCCTCTCAATCCTCCCCCATCTGCAGCTCAGAGCAAGCCTGACGGTGACCTGGTGATCTGCACAGCTTCCGTCAGCCCAAATCCACAGTGCAGGCTCTGCGCTGAGTGCGTTGGGAGGCTCCCCCAGCCACTTCACGACCTAACAGGAGGCATTTCACCCACCACCGTTTTGTAACAGTACCTTCTCCAACATCGAAATGGGCTTTAGATGTGCTCCCAAACGGCAGTCAGCGGAACTGT